TCTAAGCATGGCACAATGGATAAAGTACACACTTCAATGTATCCAGACCTAGTTTTCGTTGCTGCTTCAGACATTTATTAGCTGTGTAATCCTGGGCAATTCACAGCCTCATTAGGCCTGAATTTCTTCATCACAGCAATGGAAGCAGTGTTAAATTTGAAGGCTGGAAACCTGGTTTTGAATCCTAGCTTTGCCACTTACTACCTGTATGACTATCTCTAGTCCTCAGTTTCTTTGGATGGAAAATGAGGCAATAGGGAGCCATTGGAGTTGGGTCAGACCTTTCAATTTAGGAAGATCACTTTGGAAGCTGAATAGATAATTGACTTGAATGGGGAGAGATTTGAAGCAAGCTAACCAACCAAAGGGTATTGCAATAGTCTGAATAGGAAGTGATCAGGGCCCACAGTAGAGTGGCAGCTGAGTGAAGAGAAGGGGACATTTATGAGAAATGGCAAGATTTGGCAACAGATTGGATATGAGGGATGAGGAGTCAAGGATGACACCAAGATTTTGAGCCTGGGGGATGGAGTGCCCTCAACAGCAACAGGAAAGTTGGGGGAGGAGGTTCTGTTATGGACATGTTGAGTTTGAGATACCTATGGGATTTCTAAATGTCCAAAAGGCTGTTGGTAATGAATAGAGAGGTTGGGGATCTGAGAATTTTTTGCATAGAAGTGATAACTAAACTCATGGGAGCTGATGAAATCACCAAAAGAGAAGAGAAAAGGCCCAGAATATACTTGGAGATTCACATTGAGTTGGAATCCAGCAAAGGATACTGAGAAGCAAGACAGGTAAAATCCTTTAACTTATCCCTTCCTACTTTTCCCTTCTTTGCTTTGCTCCTCTCCATGTGCTCTGCAGTGACACCGGCCTTCTTGCTCTTACAGACACACACAGACACACACACACCCCACCACCACCATCACCACCATCTCTTGACTCTGCTTTCTCACTGGCTATCCCTTGTGCCTGAAATATTCTCCCTCTGCATCTTCTCCTCCTAGCTTCCCTGTCTTATCTCCAAAACTCAGCTCAAGCCCCACTTCAAGATTATCTCCAATTTATACTGTACCATCTTACATGCACATAGTTGTTTGTATGTGACTCCCTCCATTTGAATGTGACCTCCTAGAGGGCAGGGCAGGGACCAGTGTTTTTGCATCTCTTTGTATCCTCAATGCTTAGTACAGTGCCTTGGAATAACAGTGAGCCTTACCAAATGCTGGTTGACTCAAATTATTGTACTTCCAGCTGCTGGGTGGCAAAGTGGCTAGAGTACCAGGCTTGGAGTCAGATGGACCTGAGTTCAAATCCAGCTTCAGACACTTATTAGCAAGTCACTTAACCCCGTTTGCCTCAACTTCCTTGTCTGTGAAATGAGCTGGAGAAGGAAATAGCAAACCACTCCAGTATCTTTGCCAAGAAAACCCCCAATGGGTTTTACAGGCATGTCCAACTCTTTGTGACCCCACACAAGGTCACGAAGAGTCAGACAGGACTGAAAAACAAGTGAACAATAAACTCCCTTCCAACTCTAAATTTATGATACTGTGATCTATAAAATGAGAAGAGCACCTACCTCGCAGTGTTGTTGTGAGGATCAAGTGTAATGACGTAAAACACCATATAAATGTCAGCTGTTATTAACTGTAAATCCTCCTCCTTCTCTAGCTGGCCCTGCTATACAAAGCAGAGTCCAGGATGTGATCAGAAAATCTGATCTTTGGGATTATCATGCTAATCTTTCAGAAGCCAGAAATATGGGCAGCTGCCACCATGTGAATTTTAGTCCTGCCTTAATACGCCATCATGTTGTGAACAGCTAAGCTTCCTACAGGTGTGAATAACAGAGAACAGATTGATGTAGGATTCCACACAGTTACGTTTTTTTTTAAATGACAGGCTCTTTTATCCTTCTGAATTTTTTTGAACAGAACTTGAGAGTTGGAAGGGACCCGAGCAGCAATCTAGTCAAACCAATACAAAAAAGGAATCCTGCTATAACATGTCTGACAAGTGGTCACCCAGTCTTCCCTGGAAGACCTCCAAGGAGGGGTAAACCACTACCATTCCACTTCCAGGCAGTTCTCTCTGACTTTTAGAGCCAAACAGAGCAAATATTGAAGACAGCTATTCTGTCTTCCTTCAATGGATCCTCCTAGGACATGGACTCCAGGCCCTTCAACATCCGGCCTTGTGAACACCTTTCCTGCTTATCAGTGCCCTCCTACAGTCCTCACAACTGAACGGTCCTCTAGATCAGGTCTGATGAAGGCAGCTTACACAGGCCATGACATCACTGCACTATTGCAGGAAGCTGAGCCCCCCTCCCCTTACTCAGGAATCACATTATTTTTGCTGACTCGAGCTTGCAATTCACTAAAACCTCCAGCTTTTCTCAGAACTTCTATCCCTCATTTTATACTTGTGAAGCTGCCTTTTTTTTATCCAAATGCAAGATTTTACATTTATGCCTATTGGATTTTATATTACTATTTTTTAGATCCCATAATTGAATGTGCTAGCCATTCCCCCAGCTTTATCATCTGCAAATTTCATGAACATAGCATCTATATCTTTATCTAAGACATTAAAAAAAAAAATGTTAACACAAGGCAGTGTACCTGGAGCACTCCACTGGAGACCTCTTGCTGTAAGATTTATAGTGGTGTCTTGAATGGGTGGATATCTAGATGGCACAATGGATAGAACGCAAGGCCTGGAAATATGAAAACCTGAGCTCAAACCTGGCCTTAGACATTTATTAGCTGTGTGACCCTCAGAAAGTCATATAACCCGTGTTTTCTTGTTTCCTCAATTGTAAAATGGGGATAATAGCACCTGCTTTCCAAGGTACTATTTGTAAAGCGCTTAGCACAGTACCTGGCACATAGTAGGTGCTTTCCCCTTTCCCTTTCACTCTGTGTGTTACTTAGGATAATATTCTATGGAGCAAATTATGTAATTAGAATTATGTATCATGACATTACATTACATGAAGTATTAGTATATTTTATAGGATACATAAAATTATTACATAATGTAAAATACAATACTAAATATAATTCTATAGTGCTAAAGCATTTTTCTTATCAACTTGTATGGTACAGGGACATAAACATTATCCTACATTTCATAGATAAGGAAACTGGGTCTCAAGAAAGCAAAATGAGTAGTTTATAGTCACAGTTAGAACAAGGAAGTCAGAGACAGGATTTGACTTCACACCTCCAGATTCCAAATCAAACACAGAACTTTGTAGACACTGAGGCAAAAAAGGGAAAGGGGACAGAAATTATTTAATTAGTTGCAGGCTTGCTAGTAATTGGGATACCAGCTTCTATTTATATCAAGACTTAGCAGAAATCTGCTGACTACCAAAAGCAGCTGAAAAGAACAATTAACTAGTCCTTGCTCAGCCGCCTCCCTGCACTAGTAACTCCTTGTCAGAACAAAGTACTCAGGATCTCAATTCCAACAAGGATGAAAGGGCAAGAAGAAACTGGCAATAACCTTCAGAAAGTACAGTGTTTCTTCTAGTGCCAAGTGACGGACCTGTCAAGACACAGTTTGATTTCCCCTGATAAAGTGAAAGGCCTAAAAACATGAATCTTTACTCCCTGTTATCAGGGAGAAAAATTTTTCTTGGATAAAAGGAAGTACATCAAGGAAGGAAAAATAAGGGGATTTTAATTGCATAAATTTTCAAATGATGAAATTGAGGCCCACAACACTTATTTTGACTGGAAGCAGCCAGTGATTTCACAGCAGGGCATAAGCCATAAGGGGTCTGATAATTTGAATACTCTTGGTCTAGATATATGGCATCAGCCCAGGAAATGAATTTTGTTGTGTTGTTCAATCGTTTGTGGCCCTATTTGGGGTTTTCTTGACAAATATGCTGGAATAGCTTGCCATTTCCTTATCTAGCTCATTTTACAGATGAGGAAACTGAGGCAAACAGGGTCAAATGACTTACCCAGGGTCACACAGCTAGTTTAAGTGTTTGAGGCTGGATTTGAACTCAAGAAGATGAGTCTTCCTGACTCTAGGCCCAGAGCTCTATCCCACTGTGCCACCTACCTGCCCAAGTGAATTTATATCCCATTTTAATTTATCTCTTTTTAATAAGGGGTTATTTGGTCTCTAGACGGAAACTCCTTCCCACCTATCCCAGGCACATTATGATTCCTTACATGACAAAATCCCAAGAACATAAAAACCCTTTCAGACCAAAAGGTCCCCTGTACTTTGAAGCATGATTTGTCTTTCAGTTGCTAAGCCCATTTCTTCCATAGCCTCTAAAACTCCCTTAAGAGTAAGTTTTACATAACATAGTTCCAAATGAATGAGTTCATGAGTTGGTTGAATCATGAAAAAAACCAATGAAGTTGAGGTCCATTCATCCATCTGGGGAAAGAGATGGGGACATAGGTACTACACACCTCTGCATCCCAAGAAAAGAAATTGGAGCCTATGAGTAATAAGCACCTTTGAACTATACTGTTCTTAACTTTTCCCAAAGCATAACCATTCTTTTATTTAATTTTGCGATATAAGTAGGGGAGATATAATCCCCATTTTGGGCAGTGGGATTTAGACCTATGAGTTCATCAGTGTACAAAATTGTGATAGTGGATATTCCCTCAACCAGTTCAGGATGGTTAGAGAGTGGCCCGAGACACTGAGCAGTTAAGTGCCTTGCCTTTGGTGACACAGCTAACATATGTATACTAGAGGCATAGGTAACTTCTATACAGTTCCCCAGCTCCATTTATACACGAGGAAAATGAGGCCCAAGGAAATCAAGAGGCTTTTCCAGGGTCACACAACAAGTGTTATATGCAAAGCTAAGAACAGGATGCAGGACTTTGGACTATAACTTCAGTGGTCAAAGAATCTGCATGAGAAAACAATATGGAGACAGGTACCACACACCTCCCTGAGGTCCCACAGAATTTTCCAACAGCAGAAACATAAGACACAGCAAAGAGTTATCACAAGAATGCTGCTTTGTTTTTAATATGGTTTGTGACAAGCAATATCCAAGTCATCCACTCTTTCCAAGTTTGTCCTGACCTTTTTTTTTAATAGACAACTTTAAAATAATTAAAACAAAACAAAACAAAAAAACACATTTTGTGCACTGAGGAGACTGATCATCATATCTCTGGAATTAAATATGAAAAAACAAGCGATGTAAATTATTTGTCTTCCTAAAAAACAGCTATCTCTGAAGTTTTTTATTTTTTAATATCATAAAATATTTCCATGAAACGAGTGATCAAGCAAACACACATGCACCTGGTGTGTCTTTTGACAGAATTTCCTCCCCTCACTGAAAGATGTGGGATTGGAGGAATGGACACAAAAGATGGAACAGATAAATTCTTTAAAAAAAAAAAATGTATATTTTTTAAAAATAAGGATGGAATGTCGCATTGTGCTTGCTTATTTTCCTATGTCACAACAAACAAAACATGTGGTGCAAATAGTTCTATTTTCCCCTTATCCATTTCAGTCAGGTGGAGAAAAAATACCTTTATTTTCTATAATAAAATATGTGGGTTTTTTGGTTTGGTTTTTTTTTAAACATTTTTTTTTTCTTTTTTGCAGAAAATAATTTTGTAAACTGTTACCACTTTCAGAGGGTGGGAAGATTCAATATAATGTCTGTCCCATCCCTGAAGATGATGGGAACCTGTGAGTTGACACCAAAACTTCAGGGTTTACAGGGGAAGGGAGAGGAAAGGAGGAAGTGGAGGACAGTCTAACAAAGGAGGCAGAGCTGGGGGGGCTTGCAATGCATACAGAAAGAAAGGTGCATCTGGACAGGAAGAAGAACCCTGTTAGAGTCTGGGAGTTTGTATGGTAATAAAAGAAGGGGGTTTGTGTGGTAGGGGGTCTAGGAGTAGGTTAAAGGTCACTTTCGCCATAGAGGGCTGTGGAGAAGGACATGTAGTCCAGAGCACCAGGCACTGCATCTGGGCCAGTGTAAGGGGCCATCCGTGCAATGCAGTATTCTGCTTGATCAGGTGGGAGTTCCCGGCGTAGTTCATCCAAGGTGATATAATTCTGCAAAGAGAACAAAGAAATTTAGTCACAGGCAACATCTAGAGTAGAGATCAGCTACTGATATCATGATTGCTGAGGACTGCATGAGGCCTATTCACCACCACCATGGCCCTTCCCGTTGCTCATAAAAGTCCTTCCCCATTGGCTTATCATCAACATGATGGAAGAATAGGGTCTACTAACCTTGGCGTGCCCGTTTTTGAAAAGTCACCAACCCCTTTTCTAAAGAATAATGGCTTATAAGTTTTGCTACAATATCTTATGCAAGTGGTCTAAACAAACTGAATATTCCCTATTGTACATGGGAACATGAGTAAGATCCATGGTTCAAATACAATGTTCTGTACCTGACAGCACCACCAAGGAGTGGTATGGGGAAGGGCAGGATTGTACATTATGCTCAAGGACAGAACAAGACTAGGTAGTGCAACTAGTTGGTGCAGCGGATAGTGCCACGCCTGAAGTCAGGAAGACGCATCTTCCTGAGTTCAAATCTGGACTCACACACTTACTAGCTGTGTGACCCTGGGCAAGTCACTTAACTCTGTTTGCCCCAGTTCCTCATTTGTAAAAAGAGCTGGAGAAGGAAAGGCAAACCACACCAAGAAAACCCCAAATGGAGTCACAAAGAGTCAGACATGACTGAAATGACTGAACAATGGAAAGACTAAGACTAAAACTCTGAGCCCAAATTCTTCCTAGTTTCTGTCTGCCACAAGGTATTATAACCTTTGGTAAATCCACTGTTTCCCAATCTGTAAAATGAGATGGTTGCTTCTAACATTTCCTTTGGGGGAGGATCCTGGCTCTTGCCTCTGACCTCAGTCCAACCCATATTCCTCTCTATACACTTGGATTCTCTGATCCTGGTTCAGCCCATTAACCACCTTCTGTGGTCAGATGACCAGACATTTGTCTATTCTACTGTTGGTCCCCATCTATTATCTTCCTTTGACGCGTCCTTCCATTGTAAGGCCAGGAATCAAAACAGGACTCTGGTAGCTGGGTGGGTAACTAATGTGTTTTGGGTGTCACTGAAGTCCCAAGTTTTCTGACAACGATGTCACAATAGCACAGGGATGTCCATGGGAGCATTCAGAGGGAACAGGGTGATTCAGTGCCTTCTGTAAAATGGAAAGAATAATCCTTTCCCTGTGACTCCCTTCATAGAGTTAAAAAGATTAGAATCTCACTGGAGGAGGATGAAGGCTGAGAAGAAATAGGATCAAAGTCAGTAAAACCATGTAAGAATGGGGAGGGGCAAATAGCGTTAAAAGAAACAATGGGAAAAGCTCCTGGAAAACTATCACTGAATCATAGAGGAAATATAAGTTTTAAAAGTCCCAGAGGCTAGATTGCCAAAGGTGTGTCCAAAGAACACATTCCAGTCGAATGGGGCCTAACAAGATTAGGCTGGTTGGTTCTGTGAATGGATACCATGGAAAGGGGTTAGTTACAGGGCACACTTTTTTGGTCTAGTGCTGGGTCAACTGAGTTAGAGACTGATAATAGGAAATATGATGGGAAGGAGAAGGGTACTAAGGGGGTAGGACAGAATGCAGGTGGGAAAAGAGGCAGAGACTCCTAGGCAAGCGTCTCACTATGATAGGTAGCTCCTATTAGAAAGATAAAGTTGCATACCGCCAAGATTCATAAGGTTTGGAACACCAAAGCAGAGACAAAATGTACATGTAGACCAAGAAGAGATTAGAAATAAAGACAGCAAATGAGAAGTCGCTGTTATCTTTATTTGTGCATATATATTCATCCATTGCCCCTTGTCAACAATGGAAATGATTTGGACTTCATGGTTTTGCATATGATTTAGGCATAATTCTGTTTATTTCATTTTTTAAAAATTGTTTATAATATTAAAAAAAAACCCTCAATTTAACTGCTCTTCTAAAGAGCACAGGGAAATGGGGGAGAAATGCCTCTTTCAAGAACTCAACCAACATTCCCTGATCCTCAAACAGACCCTACGGCTAACATAGAAGTGGTCCTCTCTATGATGTGGTTTTGAGAACACCAGGAAGAATATCTTGACCCTACAATATCAACTGTGAGTGAGATATCGCCACCAGAGATTCATTTCCTTTAGAACTTTCCAAATCAAGAGGGTTTTTAAAAAATTATTATTAATGTGAACTCTTCCTAGAAAGGATAAAAATTCCAACCATTTTCAGTTCATACTTTAGCCTCCATAGAGCAGAGGTATAGAGTCATTATGGACAGGAGTGACACCAAAAATACTCTAATTTAGCTTATCGGTCTTATATGAGACATGGCACAGCAGAAGAGATCCAAATTTAATAGAAAAGTAAGCATGCCAAAGAAGCTTTCCTTCCTTCACAAATCAGCTAATGGATCACCCTGCCCTACTCCATTAAGCCCAGACTGAAAGCTTTCCCTTTCTCTTCACTGTTGGAGGGGGGAAGGGGGAAGTGCTCAATAACCACCCATAAACACACACATCAAGGGACAAAATCTTACCCCAACCCCCTAGTTTTTAATGAATAAATCAGAAGAACCATCAAACCAGCAAATAATACACTCTTGTCCTGGTCCCTTCTTTGCCTCTCCACTATCTTTTTTTGAGACCGGGTCTCCCTATCTCACTCAGACTAGGCCACTTCACTAGCTCAATACCGCTACCGATTTAGCATGGTAGCTTTGATCTGCAACTTTTCTAACCTGGGCCAGTTTGACCCTGCCCTCTCAACATTCCCAGAGGGCTTATTATATTGGTGCCCAACTTAGCACAGACATCTAACTGGTTTCTACCTTAACTGTGCCTTAGAGCTTCCCAAACTCAATTGATCCACCAGCCGCAGCCTTTCTAGCAGCAGGGATTTCGAGTGTGTGCTACCATACCCGGTGAACTGAGTCCCCTTCTAATCCTATTTAAGACTCTAACAAATTTGACCCACTTTTCTTTCCTTTCTTTCTTTAAAAAAAAAAGTCATGTGGCTCCATTTCCAGTACTGCTGATTTCACTCAGCACTGCCCCACATAAGTTTTCCTACATTATTTCACATTTGTTATTTTTATAGCACTGCAATATTTCATTATAGTAATGTGCTGTAATTTATTCAGTCATTTTCTAATTGTTGGGATATACACACTGTTTCTGATTTTTTGCTATTACAAATGGCATTTTCTTCATCCAAGTCACAGGACCATAGCTTTAAAGATGTTTCCATCTCTTGGAGGTTATCAAGTCCAAACCCCTCATTTTATAGATGAGGAAACTGACATTGGTAGAACTTAAGTGACTTGCCAATAGGCATGCAGCTCTATATATCAGACGCTGGGTTTAAACTCAGGTCCTTCCTGTCTCCAGGTCTGGCATGCCATCCATTATACCACGCCACCTTTCTATAGGTCCTTCTTCCCTTTCTATGATGCCTTTAGGATAGAAGCCTACTCGTGAAATTGCTGGCTCAAAAGTCACCCTTCTTGAATATTGTCAGATTGTTCTCTAAAATGTTTATAATCTTCTGAAGGAAGAACAGAACGGAATGTAATTCTAACACTAGACTTGAAACACTGATTTTTTTTTCCTTTCTAATTACTGTGATGGAGGAGGAAAAGGAGGAGAATAAGGAAAACAGCATCAATGACAGAGGTGTTCAAGGCTATGGATTTGTTTCTGGAGAATCTTTATCTGCATTTCTTTACCTGACTCTTACGTCAGAGACCAGTGCCCCTAACAAAGCTATGATTACACAGTATACTTACCTTGTCCCCAGCCAGGATCTTGAAGGAAGCCATGACTTGGTCAGCTGTGTCTGTGTCAGCTGTCTCACGGGACATGAAATCAATGAAGGCCTGGAATGTCACTACGCCAATGCGGTTAGGGTCTACAATGCTCATGATTCGGGCAAACTCTGCTTCTCCCTAAAGAACAAAAGACAGGATCTGCATCAGCCTCACAGGCTGGGATCTATTAGAAACATCTAGCCCTATGGGGGCTCAGTCAGTATTCTAATGATGGAGGGATTAGTGCTGCCCCTACTTTGTGGGGATGAGAGATTACAAAGGGATTACAGAAATTTCCCCAATAAAACCTAGGTTGTCTTGGGGGCCCAGTTCATAGGTATGTCCTAATTTTAGGACCCCTAGTCCACCTTGATTTGGACACCTGGATTCTTTGTCCTTAGAGGGTTCTTTGGCTCAGCACAACATTATCCTCTGAGCCAGGATTAACAACTCATTAAAGAAAAAGCTTCCATGGACAGAAAACTTTATACCCCTCACTTGCCACCCAGCACCGAATGCTGAAATGAGGGTGAAATGAGGTAAAAATAAGAAAAGGGAAGAAGATGCCCTGGCAAAAAGACAGCCAAACTCAAGCCGATTTAGGGTGATGACTGAAACAGATGTCAAAGTTTCCTGCCTTGCCTGAGAACAGGGCAGCCACAAAGAAGCATACTGCCCCAAAGTTCAGATCAATATGAAAGGTAGGACTACTAATAGCTCCCAGATTGTACCTACTGGATGTTCAGGCGAGAGGGCAACATTGGTGAGAACAAAGAGCAAAAGCCCCTTCTAATGCAGTCAGGCATAACAGAACGTCAAGATTGGCAGCATATGGTGTCAGGTCACCCAGCTACTTGAGAAGAGATATCCTGATATACCCTCCCTCCCTTATATCACTCCATTCTTTCTCCAGACCTAGCATTACTTGTCCTAAAAAAAGCAAGCTAATAGGAGAAAAACCTCTTCTGACCCCCGCCCCCAAGTTTATTCCCTAAGGGGCCAAAGATTAACAGTGAGAAACATCATGGTTAAACTGACCAGTCCATGAAGAAAATAACAGCTGCTCTCTGTATTTCTCCATCCACCCCTCACACCCCCATTAATTTCAGTGATCACCTAGACCCAAAGAAAACTCTTCTACTTTGACCTCACCTCACTGGTTGGGTTCACAGACCCCTCCCCTCACAGAAGGCAGAGGTGAGGGCATGTGGCCATGGGAGGCCGTACCAACCCTCAGGAATGAGAAGGGGGTATCCGCTTTACGTTACCATATTGTAACCCATGGAGATAAGGCAGGCGCGGAAATCGTCCGTGTCCATCATGCCTGTCTTCTTCTGCACGAAGGCAGTGACATTTAGACAAAGGGAGGGCAGGAAAGATGGGAAGAGGAAAGGGCCCACACCAGTTCACCAAGAGGTGGGACATGGACAACGTAGGGACAGGGTTTATTGGATGGTGGGGCAGACAGAGGAGAGAGATAAAAATGAAAGAGGAAAGAAGAGAAATACGAATTAAGAGTGGAACATATCACAAAGAACAAGAGAGAGGCAGAGGCCAGCAAGGACAGAGGGCAGAGATAATGGGAAAGAGAAGAAAGTAAGATTCCCGAGAAAAGCAGTCGGGGAAGGGAGTCCGAGGTACGGAGGGATGCAGGAAGGATCCCCGTCACAGGGAGAGGTATCCACAGTCAGAAAAGTCAACAGAAAGAAAAGGCACATGTCCAGAGGAACACAGAAAGGTGGGGGAAAGGGAGAGATCCAGACAGAGAGAGAAAAGAAAAAGGAGAAACACATGTTATTGATCACCCCAAATGCCACCCCTGACCATGTTCCATGCAGGTGTTGAGTACCTGGGGGTCGTTGCCAATATCGTAACCCAAGCTGATGAGGCAGGCTTTGAACTCCTCAGGACCGAGTGTGCCGGAGTGATCCTGGGGGCGGCCGTGGTGTGCCAGGCAGCAGGACATGCAGTGGGTGCCACAGGAGAGGAATGGGGGGAGGGACAAAATGCACAGGGGTGGTGAATGAGGAGGCGGATGGTGTGTGCCATGCAGGGAGGGAGGGAAAGCAAGCAAGTGGGCGGTGGGAAGTGAGGAGAAGAGGTGGAGAGGGAGATGTGTACATGATCATGCAGATGGGAAGGGGTGAGGAGGGTGAGGGGAGAAGGGAGAAAGGGGAAATAAAAGTGCATAAGGTTAGATACCAAAATGAGGTTTCAGTATGTGCTCACACACAACTTTGCTCCAGACAACAGGACCAAAACAGAAGCCTTCCAAATCAACCCTTGCCTCCACCCACTCCTTCCTCCCCACCCCTTCCCACACACACTCACACTCAGGTCTGCAGGGAGCTCCACTAAAGGCTCCTGAGATTATCTGGCGTGCCATGAAGCAGGCAGAGGCGTGTAGAGGCAGCAGCCTAATTAGCCCACCCTTCCAATCCATCCTCAAAGAGTCAGCCGGCCCACCCTTAGGACTGTACTGACTGAGGCTACAATGGGGGCCTACATTAAGAGCCCATTCATTTAGTACAAATTCACCCTCGGGCTACACTGAATGGGTTAGCCTGCAGGAGGAAAGGCAGGGTTCTGACTCCACCTACACTCACCTTCCTAGTACTCATGGGGGAAGCTTTTGGTGTAAATGAGGGCCAGCGATCAGAGTTCAAATTCAAATTCAAAACTAGAGGAGATGCCCATGAATAAGGGGATCACCTCAAGGAGGGCTGAGGTGGAAGTAAGGGCAGCGGTAGAGTAACCACCAGAATCAAAGGCCAGTGACCGTCTAGCTTTCATTCAAGGCCAAAAACCACTGCTCTTACAGTTAAGTGATTCTGGCAGGAAAGCCAGGAAGGAAGAGAGCAAGTGTGAATTTGTGAGCTCCCCTTCAGGATGGGCCTGGTGAAGGGACACTTAAGGCAAGGAAAAGCAGTCGGCTAGCTGCCTGAGATAATTTAAGCAGAGGCTCAGCTAGAGGTAGCAGATGGACACCAAACCCTTAGATTTTCTGACTGGACATCGAAAAATGTTGTTGCTAGCCTTAGAATCTCATTTTGATCTAACACCCTCCCCTCATTCCACCCCATTTTATAGATGAGAAAATTGAGGACTAGAGAAGGCTAAGGTGCTTGGAACAATGTTAAACAGCTAGGAAGTGACACTGCTGGGACCTGAACTCAGGTTTTTTTTGTTTGTTTGTTTGTTTTGGGTTTGTTTGTTTTTTTCTAAGTCCATGGCGGTTTCCATTCAACAAACATTAAACACCTACTATGGTCAGCACTGATGATAGACAAAGAAAAAAAAATTAAACAGTTTCTGCCTTCAAGACACTTGCATGGTGCTGGGCTTGGAATCAGAACGATTTGAGTTCAAATTTGGCCTCATACACTTATTATTGAGCCTGGCCATGTCATTTAACCTTATTTGCCTCAGTTCCCTCATCTGTAAAATGAGAATAATAATAGCACCTACCTCCCAGGGTTGTTGTAAAGATCAAATGAGATAATAATTGTAAAGTGCTTAGCACAGTGCCTGGCACATAGTAAGCACTATATAAATATTAGCTATTATTTTTATTATCTACAGGGTAGGGAGGAGGAGGAGACAAGTAAATATCAGAAAATTTCAAGAGGAAGGGACTACTAACAATTAGGTATGGGCAAGTCAAGAAAAGCTTCATGTAGGAAGTGATAACTGAGCAGGGCTTTAATGAAAGGTAGGAATTCCATAAGGTGGAGATAAGGAAAGAGTGCATTACAGACACAGGAGAGTACTTATAGCGGGGCTACTCAACTCTGCCCCGCTCACCAGGCTAGGCACTGGGTACTCCAGTCTAGTAGGCCCACAAGGTCTGCAAAACAGGTTGTTAGGATGTATCAGATCCATTTAGGCTGCTGGTGTGTCAAGGGCCAAGGGAAGTAAATGATAGAGCTATTCTTATGGATCTGTGAAATTGATTGACAAGATGGGCTCAGAGAAAAAGGCGTCAGTTCTTTCCATGAAACACAGATTCTGAGACAGAAGGAATTTCAGAGGCCAACGAGTTCAGCCCACAGCTGATCTAGAATACCCTATACAAAATCTCTGAGAAGTGACCATTCACACTCTGCTTAGAGATGTCTGGTAATGCAGAACTCACTCAGTTTCTGAGGTAATCCATTTCACTTTTGTACAGCTGAAATCACTAGGAAGTTTGTCTTAAAAATCAAGGTGAAATCTGCTTCTTATCAAGTTCTAACAATTTCTGCTATTTCTCTCCTCTGAGGAGAGGCAAAGTATGATGAGATATAGTGGAAAGAGCATTGGCATCTCAAAGACTATTTTCCAAATCCTGGTCCTACTATTTATTAGCAGTGTGACTTTAAGTAACTTAATCTCTCTAGGTCTCAGTTTTCTCATTTGTGAAATGAAGGGGTTGGACAAGGTAAGGTCCATTCTAGCCCTAAGTTCCATGAAATAAATGGGACCCTGTTTCCAGATAACTGCCCTTTAAATCTTCCCAGTTCCTTTAAGTCGTCCTCATGACATGACCTCGCCATTCTGATTTCCCTCCTTTGGAAATGGCACAGCTTATTAAATCTTTACTTAAATGTTACACCCAGAAGACAGCCCAATACGCAGTTATGGTCTCACTATGGTGGAGTACGGTGGAATTGCGACCTCTTTTACTTCTACTAATGTGTGCTATGATGTGCATTAGATGTCATTGGGGCCATGACTTTTCATTATTGATTCATGTTGAACTTTCAGTCAACTGAAACCCCCAGATCTTTTTCAAATATTGTCTAGCCATGCCTATTCCCTAGCATACTTGCATGGTTAATTTTTTTCAACACAAATGTAGTAAGTTCGGTCACTTAGTTCTATATGACTCTTTGTGACCCCATGGACCATACAATCCATGGGGTTTTCTTAGCAGATATTGGAGTAGTTTGCCATTTCTTTCTCTAGTGGATTAAGACAAACAAGGTTAAGTGACTTGCCCAGGCTCATGCAGCTAGTATGTGTCTCGAGGCTGGATTTGAACTGATGTCTTCCTGACTCTAGGTCCAGCCCTCTGTCACCTACCTGTCCAAGTAAAGTACTAACTCTGCTACATTTCATCTAATTAAATTGTTCACTGTTCTAGACTTTCAAGATCTTTGATTCGGATTCTATAATTCAACATTTTAGGCAGTATGGAACAGTGAACAGAGAAGCTAGTCTGAGAATCAAGAAAATTTGGGTTCAAATCCCAGGTCAAGCATGTACTGACTATATAACCTTAGGCAGAGAGACTCAGGGCCCCAGGCAATTCTAAGACTTAAGTCACAGATCAATTGTCGTGATCTGCTTTGGGCAGAGGAGTTTCCTACTCCAATGATATAATAGGTCTAAACCAAGCAAAAATAACATCAATTATCCCTCCTAGCTTCATGTCAGCCCCAAGTCTGTTGAGCATGCCATCCACCTATTCCTTCAATCAGAGCACTGACTGAACAGAGTCAAACACCTACAGCACCCAATTAGAGAGACCTATGTTCTGAGCTATCTCTAGGTCCTGGTAAAGCCTCTGAGAAGAAAGGATCCTATCCTGGGGAGATTTCTCATGTCTATGAGGTCATTTTGAGGTTGTGTTTCAGTGAAGGGGGGCAAGGGGAAAAGCTCAATAAGCCAAACTCTTACCCGGTCAAAGTGGTTGAAGGAGGCTCGGAACTCATTCATCTGCTCCTGGCTGATCCCTTTGGCATCTCGAGTAAGGATCTGGTTCTCCACTTCATTGATGGTTCTGGCAATGGTGGTGAGGAGCTGTTCCCAGCCCACTCGAATGTGCTGGGGGATCAACGTGGCTGTTGTCAGAGTGAAACTACCCAAATCCTTGGCTTTCCCCTTCAGCAAAAGTCCGAAAACCTATCTGTGCATTTCAGACTAATTTTCACATCACCAATGAGGATCCTTTGGAGCAACATATTCTATGGCAGAAATACTCCCAACCATGGAGCACGGTAATGACACTAATAGTGATGTAATGTAAGCAAGCAAAAGAAACAAGAATTGAGGGGGCTGGGAGGATATCCAATGATGGAGATGGGTAGAGTCAGAAATATACTAGCAAACAGTTCTAGGGAAGAGGGTAGGAGATTACCAAAATGCATAATTTATCTCTCACATACTACTCCAAACCCCCCTTTCTCACCACCAAAAAAATTTACAAAACAAAACAATGGTCTCAGGAGTTAGGGCCATGTGGATTCTCTCCTTTCCAACTAAAGGAAATAATGTGTAAACCTATAAATGTTTTACACACACACACTTTTTGGTTTAGACATTCCCAATATAGCAAATGTATCCTACAAACATCCTACATCCTAGCAAATGTATTCTATATTGGAAAGAAACTGCTGGAAAGGGAAAGAGATTAGAAAAATATATGTACCAATGATGACCAAGAAGACTATTCCTAAGGATTAAAGCTGGTTCTGTTTCCAAGTTTTAAGGTTAAGGGAGACCAACACCATCCCCAGCTTTTTCTCCCAAGGATCATACCTCCATGGTATAGTTGGTGTGCTTGTTGTCAAAAATAAGAGCCTCCTGGATCTGCTGGTGGTCTCCTTCCAGCTGGTCAATCTTTGGTTTGTAATTGACAATGCTCTTCTCATACTGTCGAAGGTGATTGAGCTGGTCCTCCAAGGTGCCATGCATCTCGATGGAGATGCGGCCAATCTCCTACAGAAACAAAGAGAGAGTGACATTGCCTCAAAGTTACCCCCAACAAAGAATTCACACAACTGTGACCTACAGGGAGAAATTTTGGGCTCCCAGGAACTCTAGCACTTTAACACTTTGAGTCCCTGTTGGGTCATGGCCTTCCCTGGGCCATGTCTATGGAGCCTCAAAGAGTTTTAAGAAGATTAAGACTCTCAAAATTGAGAAAGAATAGGAAAGAGTCCAACATCTTTGCATTTTTGATATGTAAAGTCACAAAAGGCAGGGATTGTATCTGTTTAACCTAGTAATATTTGAGTCTAGAATTCCTTCAGGACTCCCTCAGGAGACAAAGAAGTCCTAGAATAGCTGAAATGATCACAGAAGAGGGTAGCAAATAACAAACTCAACCTAAATTCCATTGCCTGGCTTTCTAAGCCTTTCATAATGTCAACCTATCCTACCTGTCCAATCTTATTTCCAAACACACATACTTCACTGGCCACTACATAAATCATGCTCCTTCCTAACTCCATATAATTGCTAAAGCTGTTCTGGCTGCCTGGAGATCCCTCTTTCTATTTAAATTCAAGTTATCCTTAAGAACACCAAGTTATGTCTCATTTCAAGAGGCTGCCTCTCTTTCTTTCACTAAAGCCTCTACTGATTTCCCTACAGTATTTAAGAATATGGACCATTCAGCCTAGCATTTAATGGTATAGCAGCTTATATTGTTCCCTGATTATTTCATATGGGTTAATCTTCTCTCCTGAAACAGAACAGGTCCTGGGGTATGGGAATTGTGTTTTCACAGAGTCATTGGTTTTGACCCAGTAGGGAACTTAGAATTCATCTAGTCCAAAGGTATCAGACTCAGTCCTTCCCAAAGAGAACTTCCAAAACTTCCCATTGAGAAACAGATTAAAATGTAACTAGGAAATGTTTAATAAAATAAATAAAAATATGATTCAACATAGATAATGTTAATTTGTGGTTTTCTAAATCAATATATAGCTCATAGAGATCCTTATGTAGAATTTAATGGTCCCCATTTCTATTCAAGTTTGACACCATTCAACTAGTCTAATACCTTTATTTTGTAGATGAAGTAGCTGAGACCCAGAGATTAAGTACACAAGGTCACACAAGTACTAAGTGACAAAATTGGGATTTGAATCCAGGTCCTCTGAATCCACATCCAGAACTCTGAATCTGCCATACTGCCCCTTAAACTTCTGTATCCCTCATTGTCTTAACATGTTGCCTTGCCCATAGTAGAAACCCAAAAAATAATTGACTGACTGACTGAGCATGGACTCCTCTAAATTCTGGAATTATCTTTGGGATACTAGGGTTTATTTCCTCAAAGACAGAAAAGAGAAATCTTCCTTAGGGAGAAGGTTGTGACAGAAGAGCTAGGAAACTGGTTGTGGTAGAGATGGGAAATAGGGAATGGATGAGAGAAAGGAAGACGGGAGAGATTTCAGCATTCAATGCTACCTCCATCTTGGTCTGGATCCAGGGCCCAATAACATTGGCCTGGGCTGCAAACTGTTTGCGGAGTCGTTCATTCTGCTGCTGACGGGTGTGCTCCTCCATCAGGGCCTGGTCCCTCCGTGGCACTAGTTGCCGAACCTGGCGTGCCAGAAGAGATGAATGAGGGGGGAGATTTGTTTGGATCCCGAACAAGTAGAATACTAGTTCTTCTGCTTTGCTCCTCTAAGCTTGCTTCTATTCACCCCTCCCATCACCCTGCACCCTGACCCTTTTTAAGCCCATTGCTTGACTCACATGATCCCATTTGCCATTGATCTCCTGAGGGGTGATGGTTGTGTAGGGATTGGTCCCAGCCATATTGACATGGTATGTCTGGACAATTTTGGTAACTTCATTATGGATTCCTAGAATGGCCTGTCGCTCCTTGTCAGCATCAGGGAGGGTGGCTTTGAACTGCTCATGTGCTGTGGTCAATCCCTAAGTGGGAAATAGGAATATGAGAAAGATGGCAAGAAAACATAGTCATCAACTCCAAGGGTCTAGTGCCTTCCAAGAAAAATGATATTAAGTCCTCCTGAGATACTCAGAATAATGGATTGCTGGAAGCAGAGTCACACAAGCACCTTTCTGAACAACCACCATCACCTAAATAACATGCGCCTCAAGCCAGGGAGAGAAACACTAAGAAAATTGCCTGTTGCTACTCCAGAAACTAAAAATCATTCACACAGTCAAAGGAATTACAGCTGGAAGGGATATTAAACCTAATCCAGAGGGTTCTTAACCTGAAGGTCCATTGCCCCCTGAGGTCTGTGGATAGGTTTCAAGAGGCCTGTAAACTTGGATGGAAAAAATATTTTTGATAACTATATATCAACATAATAGGTTTCAATTACAATCTGAGGCATTTTACTTTATTCACTTAAAAATATTATTCTGAAAAGGGGGCTTTACTGGACTACCATGTGACTATGACATAAACTCTGACCTAATCCAACCTCTGTACAATGTAGATAAAGGAAAGGTGAATTGCTTAAGGTTATACAGCTATTAACTATGCGGGGCTGACAGCCAACACAGAAAAGCCAAAATGGTTCAGGGAGCTTTATTAACCCAGTTATGGGAAGAAGCACCAACCAAGATGGCCCTTGGCCGTGTGTGGCCCCTGGGAGTAGCTCCTTTCTTTAGAGTATGGATACAAAGGTATAGACACCACTCCTCTGCAAAACCCTAATCAAACTAGGGGGACTTGACTGCTTTAGTCAATCAATGAGTATCCATTAAGAGGGTACTATCAAGTGCTGCGCAGACAGACCAAATGAGGAGCTTTTATTCCACTAGAACTTCAGAATGCATCTTTTCAGGGCTTCCAATCCAGGAAAATCAACCTTAAATCTTACAAGACATCTTCCTCTCTCCACTGCTGTTTCCCTGTATCACAGGAAGGAGTAAATTCTACAGCCCTTCATGGGAGAAGCTATAGCTGTGTAATAACAACACTCTCTGCATCCTCTCTAAAGATCATTTTTATCCAAGCAAAATCCAATTAAAATGAATATTAAGGGCAACCTTGAAGCAGTAAGGCACCAAAAAAATGAAACCAGAATGCAACCTGATTAGAGGGGAAGGGGATGACAGGTTAGAAAAAAATGAAAGAAGAATCCTACTTCCTTACCTTAATGAGAATGGTAATTACTGAAAGAATTTATAGACGACTCCGATACTCATAAGCCTCAGGGCGGGGAGTTAGTGAGGGGAAGGAGTACTAGCTAGGATGCACTTGCTTTGTGCCTCCAGCACTTAACATGAAACCCTCCCGAATTAGCTCAGATTCACTGTTCTTTAGGGACTTAATGTTGTGGGAAGGTGAGTACCTGGATCTCCTCTATGGTATGCACAATGAAGGTATCCTGCAGGTCTTCCATGGCCCCTTCCATCCAGTTATTAAAGGGAGCAGCTCTCTTGGCATATTCCAGATACAGTTGGTCTATTGTCTCTAGGAGCTTCTCTGTCCGCTGGGCATCAACAGAATTAGCAAGTTAGAGGAGAAAACAGGAGTTGAGAAGATCGTACATCTAGGGCTAAAAGGGAATTCAGAAGCAATTGAATCCAAACCTTTCATTTTGCATACAAGGAAACTGAGACCCAGGGAGGATGTGACTTGCCCAAGGTAACACATGCACTAAGCCTAAGAGGCAGGATGTGAACCCAGGTTTTCTGATGCCTGGGTTCTCTTTCCACTGAAAGAGGCTAGATACAGGGCAGGGGATGACAGAAAGTAATAGAAGAAGAGTAGTGTTCACTCTAAGGGAATCATAGTTTAGTTAACAAATCCTTTTATTAAGGGGATGTGTTCTGTGAAGTTTAGATTCAGTCAAAGGGCCTCACTTGAAGACCTAGAGGGCCACATGTGGCCTCAAGGTCTCAGGTTCCCCACTCCTGGTTTACAGGAACTTAAAACAGAGCTTGTATTCTGTTCAGAATAGCAGAAGATGCATATTTTAGTCAGGTCAAAATGGGGAAGTCTCAGGGAATTATGAATCCTCTGTTTTCCCAATTTTGGAGAGTCCTAGAACTGGAGAAAGAGAAGAGCAGGGGGAGAAAATAGGGGAAGGAAACAATGAGGTGGGGGAAATGGGAAGAGAGGTTTCCTAGCCCAAAAGAGTAGAAAACTAAGAAGCAAGCAGGAAAAGAGGAATGTTTTTGAGATACAGCTTTCCTTTCAGAGCTCACCTCCAAAGCTTCCCTTCTCTTTTGAGTCAACGCTCCCAAGTTGTCCCACTGGTCACAGATCTTTTGGCAACGAGCATTGACACTGGGAGAATTGTAGTAATCCAATTCACTATAAAAGAAAGAGACCAAGAATCATTTCATACATTGCTCTTCACTGTAAAAGAATAAATTTGTGATTTCAAAATAATGTAATGACTAATCTTGATTATAAAGAACTATGGTTGATGTATCAATTCACTTTGCTTAACACCCTTCCTTGGTTGTATGAGATGATTGGTTCTTTAAGGATGATTTTGAAATGATGTTTTTTTAAAAATGAAATAAATTCCAAAGCATCAGTGTTTGAAAAAGAAAATCAAAGAACTAAAAAGAAGAGAGAGTAAACTAGTATGCTATGTATGAAGGTTCATCATGCGTATGACTTCTCCATTCAGACCAATGAAGTAATCTCCAGTAAAAAAGGGGTCCTCTCTGGGTGGGATCTTTCCCTCCCAAATGAGACAGGGAATGGGAGATGAGGTAAATGGAGAGTAAAGGAACCAGACATGGGCAAATAACACAAAAGCAGGCAAAATATAATTCCTCTCAGGAGTAAATGTCCCAGCTCTGGACTGGCTGGGGCACCAGACATATTCCCTGATATCTAAGGGAAAAGCAGTTCCAAAGCCGTTGTCAAAATTACAAGTCAGATGAGACTCCTAACCTCCCTAAGCCTCGGTTTCTTCATCTACAAAATGGGGGTTACAATATTGTCACCACCTACCGCACAAGGATTTTTTGTGAGGTTCAAATGAGATAATATAAATAAAATGTTTTGTAAATATAAGTTCTGATTACATTAATACTCAGTAGGTATCACCTCAGGCCTTCTAAATCTGTTCCCATTCCTCTGACAGTGAAGTGGAATGTGGCCAGCAGCTCAGATCTGTACTGAAATTAGCTTTTACACTCTGGTCTTTTACATTCATTGTCTTCCCGTGTGGGGGCCAGTTCATGGACCCTACAACCCCTGATGGTTTGTGTCCTTCCTATTTTGAAGGCTGATGCCAAACCAAGCAGCTGAGCTAGAATTTCAAAAAGTTATAGGCACTCCCTTCCCCAATCACATCATGATTCCAGCATCCCCTACAGGAAGACCAAGGTGCAGAAGGGGCTGGGGTGAATGAGAAGTGAACAAATCCTACTTCAGCTCCTGTGCAATAGCAGCAATCTGTTCCACTCGGTCCTGGTGAGCAGCAAGGTCACTCTCAAAAGCCTCGTGCTTCTTCAGCAGGGCCTTGATCTCAGAAAGGGTGGCTATCTCATAGTCCTTCTGCTGCAACATGGCCTCCTTGCCTAGGTTCAAGAAGAGTTTTGGTAAATCCATAGTCTCAAACAGGCTATTAAGAGGTAAATGGGGGGAATATCCCTAACCCCAGATGTTGCCACGAAACAACTCAGCTCATCATATACTCTCATGCAAATCATCTATTCAAGTTCCTGTTAGTTATAAAATTCCTCCAAGAGGCCTCTGCCAACTAACTATTCATGCCCATGGTAGCCTCTTCCATGGAGCAATTATTATCTCTAGCAACTGTTTAGCATTAATTATAATGCTATCCCAGATTCTTTTATTATGGTCATGGGTGCATGTCTTGTTACATTATGGGCAGAAACAGAAGAGAGTTCTTTTGGAGCTCCCATAGTACCCAGCACAGTTCTAAACATATAGCAGCAGGAGGTATTCAATACATGAGTAAAGTATTACTGGACCATCTGACTACCTATTACTGGACTATACCAAACCATCAGCCTCAACTAGTATGGCCATTGCCACATTCCTATGAGAGGCTGGTTAGCTTAGTCAATCCACAAGGTCAACTTTGTCCATGGTAACAAAGCCTTAGGATGAATAATGGGTGGGCCAGTTATCGTTGCTCTGACATCATCACAATCTCTGACCCTGGCCAGCCATCTTACAAATGGGGTATATATAATGATACAGACAAAAAGAGAGAACAGGAATGGATAACCACAACCACCGTGACCAGCTGCCACCCCCAACTCATGGAAAGAACACTGGACCTGGCCCTGTGTTAACAAGCTATGAACAAATCACTTAACTTCTCTGGGCCTCAGTTTCCTCATCTGCACAATGGGGGTGATAATGCTCGAATTACCTACCTCACAAGGTTGTTGTCAGCAAAGTACTTTGAAAATTGCAAAGCACTAGAGTAACGTGAGTAGTTATCAATATTACTAAAAGAAACAAACTTGAGGTGCATGTCCCACTGATGACTGGTCATCTGTAACATCTTCAGATACTCGTGTTCAAGTTCCTCCAGGAAGCCTTCCCTGGAAGCCCTCTTCTCTCTCAGGTAAAGAGGTCTCCCAAAATTTCTCACAGTACTTTGCCTAAACTTCTCCCCCTTTGTACTTATCTCAGGCTTCTTTGTATACATGTCTTTAATCCCGTTGGTTTATCAACTCCTTAAGAACAGGGTCTGTGCCATAGCTTTGCATCGGCAGCCAGCGTCTAGCACAGTGCCTTGCACTGAGTAGGTGCTTAATCAACCAATCAATCAACAAGCATTTATTAAGCACCTACTACGTGCCAGGCACTGTAATAAATAATAAATAAAGGATGAATGAGCGAAGGAACGAAGGACAGCATGTTTCCACGTGGAAGCCAAGTGAAAATGAACTCATAGCATGCATTTATCACATACCCACTTAACTCCTTCCTCCCTCTTGCCCACTTCCCAACAAATGCCCCAATCTTTACAAGCCAAAATCCACTGACAAGGCCATATAATCTCATAAGGACTTGGGGAAACGAAGGCAAGCAGACCTGGAAATATTACCACAAAGCTCAGTTGGAAGAAGATCAAATAAAGGGGCACTTTGAACTAAGGATCCCAAAGACTCATATATGTGGGTCCTATAAGATGGGTCTGAGTTGCTATGCTCTCTGGGAGCTCTTCTCTTGACCTCTTCTTCCAGTCCTGATACCACACTAAAATGCAGAATCTTGGGCACCATCCAAGGGGAAAATCAGTTCCCATCTCTCTGCCTCAGTGACTTTCAGAGCAGACACAAATTCTGCATTAATCAACCGTGAAATAAGTATTCACAGAATACTTGCTGCCTGGCCTAGCATGTAGCTTCCTATCCAGAGATCTCAAAGAGTATCACCAGTCTCATTTTGGTTAAATGCTATGGGATGATTACGAAGGGACTATGGGCTGAATGGCAATATTTCCCAGGGCCACCGACACATGGGAATCCAAAACCTAGGTTGACAAATATTAGGAAGAAAGCAAGAAAACTAGGATCCCTTAACTTCCAAGGACCGTTGCTCCAGGGAAATCATGAAAAGCAGATCAGAATCCCTCTAAGGTTGGCCTTACCATCTGTCCAGGCTTCATGGATAGAGGCCTTCTGCCGGAACTTCTCAGCCAGGTGGTCCAGTCGCTCTAACCTCCGGATCTCATTCAACTGCCACTCCTCATAGCCCTTCTCTGCCTGCTCCAGGCCCCCCCATGCATTATTGATATCCTGGAGGAACAGATAAAAGTAGTATCAAAAAGGGCAGCACTTTACATCTAGACTCACTTCACTATGGGGAAAACTCAGCTCCTAGCCCTACCTGGGCTTTGAGACACTGCTAGTTCATTCCATCATTATGGCATCAGCTGTTCCCTGTCTTCCACGACAAGAATTCTTCTCCAATTCCACTTAACCCTCCCCACCCCAAGTAGTCCCAGACCCATCCCTCCTACCCTAAGCTACAATGGTTTCAATGGCAAAAAAATAAAAATAAATAAAAAATTCTGTTTGTCTTCTTGAGGCCATCAGCCCTCCACTGGAAAGGAATTTTTCTGCATTCTTCTGGTCCTGATGGAGCTTAGGGCCAAGGCGGTGCTGACTAATGGCTGAATCCTTAGTATGTGCAGAGTCCAGATTGTCATAGAACCTCAGATTTGGAAAGGACCTCACAGAGGCTGTCTGGTCCAACACTGAATAAGAATCCCCTCAATAACTTCTCCAATGAGTAGTCAGTCAGCCTTTGCTTCCAGATCTCTAGCTACAGGTCTCCACTATTTCCTGAAGCGGCCCATTCAAATGTTGAATAGCTAACAATCGGGAAGATTTCTCTTCAAAAACAAAACCCTAAATCTGCCTCCTTCCAGCTTCCAACCAGCATTCTTCATTCTTCCCTTTGAATCCAAACAGGGCAAATGTAATCCCTCTTCCATGTGATAACCCTTCATATTATGTTCTCCCAACCACCCTATGACCTCCTGCAGGGTAAAATACTGATCTTAGACAATCATTAATAATTAGGAGCCACTATATACAAGGCACTGTACTAGATAATAAGGAAGGGGTCTACCTACACTCTATGAGACAGACAGGACAAATACAGGAAAAACGCAAGTAACTGCAAGCTAATGTGGGTGGGAGGTGCTATACAGTACCTATATAACACACACTGATACAGTAGTTTATGAGCTACAAAGTAATTTCCTCACAACAATACCACAAAGGCAAGGAGTTAATACCTTTTGTTCAGTCACCTTCAGGGTTTACTCCATTTTCCCTAAATCTATTATATTCTTTAAAAGCTATTCTCATAAATGGTGCAAGTCTCTCTGAAATACTCAAGACTAATGGGCATTGCTTTCTTTGTACATATGGGTGGGCAGAGGGTCCCTGACAATATTTTAAAAGTATAAAACATTTATTAGAAAGAGATGCCTGTCTCCCAGAAGCTATTCCCTAGGCTTCCAAGTTGAGTTTTTAGTAGCAAGAGAAATGTTTAATAGGCTAATACTAAGCTATAATGGTCTGTCCCTGAAGAAGATTTCACTGATTGCTTGGGATGAAGCATATCATTCCACATCACCCTACTGACTCATTCACAAGAAACTGAACATGTTTCCTTTCCTTATAATAATTCTTTTTTTTTTTCCCTGGGAGGGGGGGAATATAATTTTTGGGGGATAGGAAATTCCTCCTTATAATTATTCTTTGTGGGGGGAAATGGAAAGAGCTATAATTTCTTTGGGGATAGGAAATTTCAAACAAGAAAACACCCCTTCTCAATGCAGATCAGTTCCTGCTCTGGAATGCATAGTCTTAGAGGGTCGCCTGGGCCAACGAGAGGTTAAGTGACTTGTGTAGAGTCACACAGCCAATATGTAGGTAAGACTTGAATCTAGGGCCTTTCTAATTCCAAGGCTGGTTTTCTATGCATAATGCCATCCTGGCCTTTCATATAACAATATAAATAGGATTATCCTGCATCCTGGTTAAGTTTCTTGACTACCCTTAATTTGTAGTTTCCTGTCCTTTACATTAGAAGTATCAAACATAGAAAGTGCTATCCACATCCAGAGAAAGAACTATGAAGTCTGAATGCAGACCAGAGCATACTATTTCCTCTTTTTGTTGTTTTTTCCTTTTGTTCTGATTCTTCTTTCACAATATGACTAATATAGAAATATGTTTAATATGATCGTACATGATTAATTATATGATTATGTTAATATAATAGTACTATATCAGATTGAACGATGTCTTGGGGAGGAGAGGAGGAAATTTGGAACTCAAAATTTTATAAAGGTGAATGTTGAAAACCACAAATAGATAAATCAACAAATAACCAAATAAATAAATAAAAGAAGTATCAAGTTCTCCAACAGCAGCACTCCCCAGTATGGCTCGAACCACATTAAAATGTAACTGAGAAATATTTAACTTGCCAAATAAAAAACTTATAAAACATAGATAATATTAAAATTCTAAGTCAATATGTACATACAGAGATCCTTAAGTATGGCTTAGTGGTTTCTGTTTCTATTTAAGTTTGACATCACTGCCTTATTGTGGTTTGTCCTTTGTTCTCTAAGAGGACCAAGACACCAGGGAGGCGATGCCATGACTTGCAAATGACTTGGATTTAAATGAGGGAGGGCTGTGCAAAGTCAAAGTCACCAGCCTCACTTTCTCCTCCAGAGCTATCTGGGTCCAGTGACCAGATATAGATCAGGATGACTGGAGATGTCCCAGGAAAGGGCACAAAAAGGAAATCTGCTGTAGAGATTTGGCTAGTGTTTGGGTGAATGCAACCAGAAACAGACTATCTAAAGGTAGGTATCAAGGTCTTCATCACCAGGTAAAAAGGGGGCTTGCTATGGATCATGACAGAAAACCACAGTGACCTGAAATCCAGGAACATCACTCAGCCAATCAGACCTTCATAAAGAGGATGGCTTAGTAAAGCTTGTTTGAAAATGGTAAAAGATAGAGATTTATGACGTCATATACAATCCTCTTCCTGTGTTCTGCTATATATAGGGAAATGCTCTTTTTGGGAGTGATTTAGTCCAAAGTGTAAGAAAAAAAATCTTAAATAAAGTTTTGCTTGATCTCCCTCCCATCTTTGCAGAGGTGGGGCACTGTGGGTATGGTACATGCATGTACTATCAGATTCCATTAATATATGGGTTAGTTTTGCTGAACTGTTTTTTTTCCCCTCCCTCTTTATTTTTTATTTCAGAGGATAGTTCTCTGGGGGAAGGGTGGACTTTGAAATTAGGTTGATGCAGAAACAAGTATCAATTAATGATGATGATGATGATAATAATAATAATAATAATACGTTTTTGCTTGGACCTAAAACGTCTATGTATGCTGTGAGCATCGAGCATGACAGCAAGTCCCAGTACCACGTAGCACTTTGCCCATCTCTGCCTGCCTCCAACTCACCGAAACCATCTTCCCCTCAGAGGGCATGAAGGCAGGCCTGTTGCTGAGTCGGAGTTTGGTCTGCAAAGTGTTAAAGTTGATCTCCAACTGGCACTTTTCCTGGACCTTAGGGGGCTTGTGCAGGCGGCGGTAGTCTCGGAAATCCTCCAGTTTCTGCTGCATGGCCTGCATGGTGTTCTCAGGGGTCCGGTTCTCCAACCACGGGACAGTGCGACGGATCCACTCCAGCAGCTATGACAGGAAGAGAGGAAAGCGTCAGAGACAGTGAGGTGTAAGGAGAGAAGGTAGGAACTGGCATCCTATCCCTTTGATACTGCCGAAACCTCACAATCCAGATTCTAAAACTGAAAGGCAGCTTGGTGCAACAGAAATAGGAGTGGCTGGAAAATTAGAAGACCTAGGCTGAAACTCCATCTCTGAAGTTACCTATGTGACCATGAGTGAGTCTCTCTGGGCCTCAAGTTTCCTCATCTGTAAAAGGATGTTAGACTAGATGTTCTCTGAGATCTCTTCCAGGAATAGATCTGGGGTCTGATGTGATAGTTTGTGAATCCAACTATCCCCAACACTCCTAGACCCATTATTTCATCAGAATTCACCACCGGCTCAATTCCAAATCATACTCAGCACATTCCAACAGTCTTTTCCTGGTTTACAGTGTGGGCACATGTATATGTACACACCAACAGTAGAGTCACTGAATCTGGAAGGGGTTTAAAGAACAACTAATCTAGTCCCTTCATTTTATAGAAGGGGAAACTGAGGTCCACAAAAATGAAATGACTTGCTCAGGGTCATCTAGTCAAGAGCCAGAGCTGTATTGTACTCCACATAACCCTTGGCAAACTTTGATGCAATGAGTGAGTACATGCAACATCAGGATGTACCCTACTCCCACAAAATTAGGTTGGACGACGACATGAGAACAACTTTCCTTCTTGGGTTGAATCAATGAAAGACAAGTAACATTCCCCACCATGATCAGGAAAAGCCTGGGCACATGCCCCAGGCAGGTACCTACATCACTGGCCAACTTCTCATAGTCCTCCATTAGCTGCTCATTCTCCTGGTTGACTGCTAGTACCTTGCAGATCCGATTAGCTGCTGTCTCCGCCTAGCGATAGAATAGTGAGAGAGAGAAAAAAAAATCACTTGCACACTTGCCCCAAAATAATCATCGGAGGCTAGAGAGGGTATTATCTGCTCCATGGCCATCTTCATCTCACACCTAAGCCCAGAAAGGTCACCGTCACCAGTCCACGCAGAGATATTCATAGTGTCCTGCTATTCCTTCTTTACCCACTCATTACTGTTGACTCTGTAGCATATGAATGGACCAGCCTCAGCTTCTATTTGGTGCTAAACAGAGATGCAAACCCAAGAGGATTGATTAGCTTCCTCATTCTAATTCCATTCCTAACTTCCCTCTGTTTTGATGAATATAAATATTAATGTTTTCCATAGTATGTGATTGAAGGGTTGGTGGCCCAGTAGCTTGTTCTAGGGAAGGAGAGAGGAAGAAAGCATCCAGGGATAAAACATCTGCCCTTAGATTAACTAAGTGGATAATTTATGTGGCTAAATGAGAACTGATTAGAAGGCCAAAGAGGAAAATGCCTAAAGAAAAAGTACGTATCAGCTCCCAAAGCATACACAGGTTTATTAAACAAAGAATAGTGACCAGTTTTTGGATTTACTATGCTTAAATAAAAACAAATGGGCTTCAATTGCAGTAGGAGGGATTTAGGATAAGGAAGAACTTCCTGAAGGTGGAAGTAATTAAATAATGTTATCAAGGTAGGTTATAAAAATCTCCTTCCTTGAAAAGCATTTTAACTAAGATAGCTACCTACCTATCTTTTGATTCATCTGTAATACTGGGTAGAGGAAGAAGACCAGATTAGCTAGTCTTTTCAGTTGCAGAGATCTTAAGAGGAATGAATGCAAGTGGCAGAAGGTGAGATGGGGGCATGAGAAGAGGGACAGAAAAAGGAAGGAGAATGGGAAGAGAAAAAGAGGAAGGGAGAGAGAAAAGAAGGGGAGAGAGAGAGAGAAAGAGGAAGAGAACGGGGAAGAGAGAACAAAGAAAGGAAGAGGAAGGGAAAGAAAGAAAGGAAGAAGGGCCAGGAAGAAAAGAAGAGAAAGGAAGAGGAAGGAGTGAAAAAATGGAAAGGGAAGAGAGAGGAACTTGAGGGGATTAAGGGCAGTAAAGACCTAATGGCAGATTTCTAATTCTATGTTCAAAATCTTTATGTTTAGCATAAAGCTGAAGGGAACATAAGGGTGGATGAGTCCTAGTTAATACTAATTTCCCAGAAAGGGCAAAGAGTGGTGGAAAGAATACTGAATTTGGAGCAAAAGACCCGAGTTTGAGTCTTAGGACTGATACATATTATCTATGACCCTGGAGAGGTCAATAATGCCTCTCTCTAGGCCTTTCTGTAAAATAACACTGAACTAAATGATCTCTAAAATCTGGTCTAGCTCTAAAACCCCTGGTACTTTTATTTTCAGCCTGGTCTTATCAGGCAGAAAATGTGATTCTGATAAAAGAGATAAGTAATTAGGGATAAGGGAAGCTTCTAAGGTCTCAGCATGGAATTGAATTATTCCCATTTCAGGAAAGTCAGTCTATAATAACTCTGTATTATTAAATGACAATCTGGCTCCTGATGTTTATTTCAGTAAACTAAGCTGACATATTCATACTCAAACAAATAAAATCAGAATTTAAAAAATGAAGCCTTTAGGATCTCTTCCTTTTCTCCTCGCCCCATTGTCCTGCTTTGGTTAAAATGTATAGAGACAGGGCTGGGAAAGCGGAGATGAACCAAGACAACTGTATTCAGCCCAAAAGAACGTGAAAAGTATCGCCTTTGGTCAGACTTCCAGCCCAGAATTACCTAGCAATGGTACCAAGTGAAAATGTCTTTCATGTCTCTACCTTTAAAAGTTAAAGATCTAGTCTATAAAGGAATCTGTGTGATTAACTTGCATTTGCTGGTTGGGTTAAAATATGCCTTGACATATTTTTACATGCAATTAAAATGAGTTTGGTCCTTTTCAAAGAGCTAAACTTCCCTCCTATGTAGAAGTGGGGGACTGTGGATATAAAACATCATGTACATTATTAGATATGGTGGTGTTGGTTGGTTTGGCTCAACTGCTTTCTTTCTTATTCTTTATTACAAAGAATAGCTTAGGGGCAGCTAGGTGACGCAGTGGATAAGAGCACTGGCCCTGAA